CAGGTCTGGTCTCGAAATTTCGTTAAGAATACTCCTCAAATGATCAACATTTTGGGCGCCTATTGCACTAGAGTCTTGTTTGCGGTATTCTTCAGCAATAGCTGTCTCGCTAGCTTGTCTCGCTAGGTGTACCGTCAAGTTTCACTGCAAGTGTTCCACTAGGAACTGCGAAAAGCCTATCTCCAGTTTTGTCCTCCTTTGGACATCTCAGGTGACCATGGCTCCAGGTTCTTATCATACATAACCAACCAACTAACCAGAAATAAATCAAGCCTTGTCCAGATCTGGTGGGTTATGACTATACAATCTAGATGGGAAAAGAATTTGGGTAGATTTCTGAGAGACGGATCTCTCATTAGACAGTTTTGTTGTGGTGGAATTCAGAACTCAAGAAGCTCGCTTTGTCTCAAAGGAATTTCTCTTCAAGATTTTGTCTGTCTGACCAACAGGATTTTTATGTTTCTTTCAAAGCCCATTAGGGTTCTTCCCCTGATTTCCTTCTGAAATTTCACTGTGGAGGAAGCTTCCGACCAAGAAATTCGGGAAAATAAACATAATAACCAGTACCACAATATTCCATACCATTGCGAACTTTAAATCGGCAAAACCCACCAACCAGTTTTATGTCGCTAAGGGACGGTCTAGAATAATCTCAGATAGAGTGAACTATTAAATTTAAAGCAAAATCCTGTTGTTTCTGCTCGCCTGGGAGTGAAAATAATACGCGTGACGTTCACTCTATCAGATCTGGATTGTCCACAAAGGAGTGTAGGACGCATAAAAAGAAGAGATGATTGGTGTTTTAATTTGAAACCCAGAGATAGATACTGTTCATAAATTCATGTGTGCGTAAAAGCGAGTCGATGTGTGCAAAATCTCAAAGACAATACCTGAATCCGATGTTTGCTAATCTCGTTATGAACAGAGGTGATATTTGTCACCGCTTCTGTTTAGACATTTAGTTTAGATTTCAGTTGGTCATTTTTCCCATTGACTGGTTGACGAAAAGAAGACGCATAGGATTGAGCCAGGATAAGGGAAAGTGAACAGCCTTCAAGTGAGTTGATGGTAGGCTATTTTTTAAATTAATACTACAAACTTCGTCAGACACACAATGCTCACTAGTCTGCATTCTGTTTTGTTAAATAACTGTAAGTAGTGTGAACGATCTAACATGGTATCTAAGAAATGACGGCGCTTGGTTGTTAATCGTATTTACCGGAATTCGCTATGATTCATGTCCTCGTGAAAACACCCGTGCACAAAATGTTTCTAAACCTGATGTTGTTGATGTAGCAGTGTAACAATGATACTCCTGACGGGGGACGTACGATTAGTATACTTGCATAGTGAGAGTTATTACGGAATTCGTGGAGTCGTTTTGTAGCATTTGCTTGCGGTTGAGTAACCGTCAATGAATGTCTAAGAAAGTTCAAGAAGACGCGTTCAAGGAGAAGATGGATATTCAGGTTCGTAAAGAAGATGCATATAAGACTTTTCCTCCCCTGTCCAATAGTTTTTAACTGTTGGCCTTTGCTAATAAATAATTCCTTTCAGCGGTATGTGAAAACATGAGTCACCCTGATCGCTGTAATGACATTATCTTGTAAATCGCCCACTGCACAAAGATAAAACGCTTACTGGACGCACTTGACCCACCATCATTCGTTGAGTAAAAAGTACCGAGTGTTTTTTCCGTGTACATGTGATGCAACTATTATGCTTGCCCAATAGGCTGATCCAAGGAAGCTAGAAAATACTGGTTCAATCCCTTATTTCTGACACAGTGGAAATTAAACTTATTTGGACATATACTTTTAGCCAGCTTGAAGACACACGAAGGGGGACGGAGTTTTCTGGCTTGGCTGATCCAAGGAAGCTAGAAAATACTGGTTCAATCCCTTATTTCTGACACAATGGAAATTAAACTTTATTTGGACAATACTTTTAACCAGCTTGAGACACACGAAGGGGGACGGAGTTTTCTGGCTTGTATTACACTCACGCTACAAATATCATCACAATGGGTATGCCGGATTCATCTTCCGAATTTGCTGACGCAATAGAATAGCGCTGTTTAATAGATTCTCTTCAAGCCGGCGTTTGCTCAACAGGAGAACATATGGGAGAGAGGCTATAACTAGCAACAGAGGTGAACTGTATCCATTGGTTTGGGAAGTGGTAAGACTAATTTAATCACTGTAGAATTTAAAAGCCTGAAGTGATTTGTGAATACATACTGTCATGAAAGGCAGAACATTGTTCATTATAAGATTATGCACTTCAGTGAATAATGCATGTTAATGGGAATCTGAATGCGTCGCATCTACTGATTTTCTTGATCTCAGACAATTTACGGGTTCCGGTTTGATTATTCTCGGGAATTTAGCGGTTGGAGCACCAGTTATAACAGAACATCCGTTTAGGACATGAATTGCTATTGTTAGAGCTCTACCCTCAAGTCGGGTTTTGTGCATGTGGTGTTCTTGCATTTCAGCTTTCGACAAATTTACGAAAGGTCAAAATGAAGATAAGAACCTCGATTCCAGCATCAAACATCTTAATCCTTGGAAGCTTGCACAGATGAATTGCTTATCTTACCATTTGGTTAATAGAAGCAAGCCCAATGTTAATAATCTTACATAACAGTGGTTAAGGAGCCCTTAAATAACTGAAACCTTTCTAGTTCTCACACAGTGGATTTTGATAAATAATGCGATATTCTTGCATATATCAGTCTCCTTATTGCGTTATTCAAACTTCAAAAAGGATGTACCATCTTGACAGACTGCTGAATAGACCAATAATAGGCCCACCTAAGAATGCTGAATATCTGTACGAAACAAAAAAATCTGTTTCGACGTTCCAGTGGACGAGTCAGTGACAGTAACAATAAGCTCAAGAGTATATCAGTACAATAGAAGTCTGCATAAAAATCCACTGCTGCGCATTTCATTTTTCACTCTTACTTCAACCATTACTGTTACTGATGAGATCCCGTAGACATTAATGTTTTATTCAGTGTTCTTGTTCAAACCATGGGGCTATTCGTGTAAATTTAATTAATAAAAGTAACCTATCATGCTGAATGTGGAGCTTAGATAAACCTGGTGTTTAAAGTCACTTGTGATGCAAGCGATACTTCGTGCATTGAGAAATTTGCGTTTTTTGTTGCATGCATCATTTTGTTAGGAGAATTTATGGACTTCTGTTGCAAGACTTTCATGAAACTTGCATCTACTTCAGTAGTCTGGGCAACCAGATGAATCGAATTTTTACCCAAACAGGTAAAACTGTAAACATCTGGATGAGACCTGCGTGGTGAATTGTACTTAGACACTCATTTTCCAGATGCGTAGTTATGGTGGTTGTAAAAGTCGTCAATGCATTGTGAAAGAGTTTGTGAATTCAAAAAGTTTGTAATACGCGAACGATTATTGGCGAGATGAGCAATGTTGATGATTCCAGCTACGTATGATGCAGCTGTACTGTGCTTCTTGGCGTTTCAGCCTCGCAGTTGAAAATTATTAATTATTCCCACATATTCAACGCAACTATTAACTAAATAGGACTGTTAAAATGATCATGGTTTCTGTATCATTTCAATCGAATCGTCTGATGTTTTTAGCCAGAGGAGTATGGGTTGTTAATGGGAAACAAACTGTAACGCCATCGACCATGGCAGACCAAACTTAGCATCAAGATGATACTTGTGAAGACAAACGTATTGAATTCAAGGCGAATTTTCTTCCAATATCTAGCTGTTCATTGCAAATCGGTTACCTCTTTCTTGAATTCACGTAAAGACAATCAAGTCGGCTTAGTGACGCATGAAAAATATGCTGCAGGTGTATATCCTGAGATGTTTTGGCCCTTCTCATGGACGGCCTTGATAGATCAATTTATTACCGTTTTTTCTGGTTATAAATTAAGGAACGAATTAATGACAACCAAGAGGTGGTACACAAAAATATTCCTACATCATTTTGAGTTTATTAATTAAGTCAATAATAATGGCCTATTTCAAACGCACTAACTTATAGAGTTGTGTACAG